TGTGTGTGTGTGTGTGTGTGTGTGTGTGTGTGTGTGTGTGTGTGTACACATGTGTCATAGTGCAGGTGTGGGACTCAGAAGGGTCAGAGGTGAGGTGTTGGAATCGGGCCTTACCTTTCACCTTCTTTGAGGTAGGCTCTCCTGTTGGCTGCTGAATGCACCAGCTTATCTGGTGTGTGAGCCTCCCGGGATTGGTTCTCTGTTCTCTGCTTCCACGCTTGCTTACGGTAGGAGCTCTTAGATCACAGATGTACAATACCGCACTGCTTCACTGTGGGTTCTGAGAACCGGAACTCAGGTCCTCAAGTTTACAGAGCGAGCTTCTTGATTACTGAACCGCCCCCCCCTAGGTATTGTATAGTTCCTCTTTGTGACAATGAAAGGTTCCAGCAATAAACAATCGCATCAGCAAGGTTTGCACACCTCTGTGTGCTGTGTGCCCCGTCCGGTCCAGCTCAGTCCTGGAAACCTGACTGGAGCAACGAGGGAATGAAAGGACAGACACATGCACAAAAAAGCTGGGAGCAGGCTAGCTGTGCTGGCTGGAGCACAGCCTGGCACCTCAGGGTTATTACCTACAGCCCTGGAAGAAGGGTGAGCTCACCTCAGTAGGTGGTCTCTGTGGGCCACAAGTCTCAGGTTGCATTCATTTGGGAGGAGGAGGAAGCTGCAGTTGCTAACTTTTCACAGATTTCCTCTGAGCCTGACCTAAGGGGAAATTCTTCTGAGCATCATACCCTATCTCCCATTCCCAGGGCAGGCTTTGCCACTCTGTATTAGTCAGGGTTCTCTAGAGGAAGAGAACTTATAGAACAAATATACATATAAATTATATCATACATTAATTATGTATATATTTTTGTATATAGTATACACATAGTAAAAATATAATTAATTATATAGAATATATAAAATGTTATATAAAAACTATATAAAAAGGGATTTATTAGAATGGCTTGCAGGTTGTGGTCCACCTAGTACAATAATGGCTGTCTACCAAGGGAAGGTCCAAGAATACAGTAATTTAGTCCACAAGGCTGGATATCTCATCTTGTCTTTAGCATACACCAGAATCCCTAAGAATTAGGCTGTAATGCCAGTGAAGGAATGGACTTGCCAGCAAGAAAGAGAGGGAGAGAGAGTGCTTTCTTCTCCATGCCCTTTATATATACATAGTCACATCCATGTGAAATAATAAATGTTCACTTAGGATTTTATCCACTTTTTACATATTTATTCAAGGTTCCTTCTGCTCCCCATATCTATGAATGTATCTAATGTCACTATGTTTCCCTGCTGTGGGATAGTCTGTATGTCAAATTGCTCTGATTGGTCAATAAATAAAACACTGATTGGCCAGTGGCTAGGCAGGAAGTATAGGCGGGACTAACAGAGAGCAGAATTGAGAGAACAGGAAGGCAGAGGAGTCACTGCCACTGCCGCCATGACCAGCAGCATGTGAAGATGCCGGTAAGCCACGAGTCACATGGTAAGGTATAGATTTATAGAAATGGATTAATTTAAGCTATAAGAACTGTTAGCAAGAAGTCTGCCACAACCATACAGTTTGTAAGCAATATAAGTCTCTGTGTTTACTTGGTTGGGTCTGAGCGGCTGTGGGACTGGCGGGTGACAGAGATTTGTCCTGACTGTGGGCCAGGCAGGACCAGAAAAACTCTAGCTATATTTCCCATATCAGGTGACTAAAATATTGACTATTGTGCTGTATATATTTGGCCACACCACAGTTATTTTGTAACGGTGTCTGTCTGAATCCACATGGACTGTTGACTATTAAACAAATGCAGTGTTTCAAACTAACACTACAAAGGCAGAGCCTGGGGTGGGTGGATTGACAGCTGCTGATCACAATTTGCCAGTTAGTAAGAAAGCCAAGAAAAAAACAAACAAATAGTTGAAGGAAATGAACAAAACTGTTCAGGATCTGAAAATGGAAACAGAAGCAATAAAGACAACACAAACTTGAGGGAATTCTGGAAATGGAAAACCTAGATGAGCAAGCAGGAACTACAGACATAAGTATTACCAACTTACAAGATATGGAAGAGAGAAGCTCAGGTGTTGAAGAGATGATGCAAGAAATAGATGAATCAGTCAAAGAAAATGTTAACTCTAAAAAAATCCCTGATACAAAACATCCAGGAAATCTGGGACAACATGAAAAGACCAAACCTAAGAATAACAGGAATAGAAGAAGGGGAAGAATCGTAGCTCAAAGGCCCAGAAAGTATTTTTTAACAAAATCATAGAAGAAAATTTTCCTAACCTAAAGAAGGACGTGCCTATAAAGATACAAGAAGCTTACAGAACACCAAATAGACTAGGCCAGAAAAGAAAGTCTTCTTGCCACATGATAATCCAATCACTAAACACACAGAACAAAAAAGAATATTAAAAGTTGCAAAGGAAAAGGCAAGTAACATATGAAGGCAGACCTATTAGAATTAGACCCAACTTCTCAATGGAGACTCTAAAAGCCAGAAGGGCCTGGACAGATGCCCTGCAGACTCTAAGAGATCACAGATGCCAGCCCAGATTACTATACCTAGCAAAACTTTCAGTCATCATAGATGGAGAAAACAAGCGAATCCATGACTAAGTCAAATACAGCCCTACAGAAGGTACTAGAAAAAAAACCCTCCAACTCAAGGAGGTTAACTACACCCATGAAAATGCAGGCAATAAATAATCTCACACCAGCAAAACCCTAAGAAGGAAAACACACACACTACCACCATCACCACCACCAACAACATAATAACAGGAATTAACAATCATTGCTCATTGATATCTCTCAATATCAATGGACGCAATTCCCCCAATAAAAAGACACAGACTAACTGAATGGATGCAATAACAAGATCCATCTTTCTGCTGTATACAAGAAACACATCTTAACAGTAAAGATAGATAATACCTCAGAGTAAAGGATTGGAAAAATATTTTCCAAGCAAATAGACCTAAGAAGCAAGCTGATGTACCTATCCTAATATCTAACAAAATAGATCTCAAACCAAAGTTAATCAAAATAGATGGAGAAGGACGCATCATACTTATCAAAGGAAAAATCAACCAAGAAAAATTTTCAATTCTTAACATCTATGCCCCAAACACACGGGCACCCAGGTTTGTAAAGGAAACACTACTAAAGCTTAAATCACACATCAACCATCACACATTGATAGTGGGAGACTTCAATACTCCACTCCACTCTCACCAATGGACAGATCATCCAGACAAAAACTAAACAGAGGAATGCTGGAGACTTTATGAATCAAATGGACCTAATAGACATGCACCTACATTTCACCCAGACACAAAAGAATACACCCTCTTCTCAGCCCCTCATGGAACATTCTCCAAAATTGGCCATATACTTGGTCACAAAGCAAGTATCAATAGATACAAGAAAAGTGAAATAACCCCTGATTCCTATCAGACTACAATGGATTGAAGCTGGATTTCAGCAACAATGGAAACAACAGAAAGCCTATAAACTCATGGAAACTGAACAACTCTTTCCTGAAAGATTACTATGCCAAGAAATAAAGAAAGACGTCCTAGAATTCAATGAAAATGAATGCACAACATATCCAAATTTATGGGACACAATGAAAGTGATGCTACGAGGAAAGTTCACAGTACTAAGTGCCTACATAAAACAGAATTGGAGAGATCTCATACTAGCAACTTAACAGCACACCTGAAAGCTCTAGAATAAAAATAAGTAAGCACATCCAAGAGGAGATAGCAAAAGTAATCAAACTGAGGGCTGAAATCAATAAAACAGAAACAAAGAGAACAATACAAAGAATCAATGAAACAAAGAGTTGGTTCTTTGA